CTGGATGTTTCCCTGTAATAATTTACAAAACGTGTAAACGTTAAAGGTGGCAGATTAGCAAAGTAACTTTAGCTACCTCCTTTGAGGGAAGTAACCTACATAAGCCTGTTTAACGTAACAACGATGAAGCCATAAACGCGTAGAATCACTGAACTACAAACCCATATGAAACAATTGTAAATTGCAATTGTGTTTAATTTCTATTGTAACGAAAAGTGTTGCATTCCCAAGATCATTCAATGTGAAATGTTTTATTTGTAGTTTACCAATACAAATGCAAAGATTATGAAAGACAATATCCTAGGGTACAGGGAGACAAAATAAGTTGATATTGTTCATAGAAATCAGAAACATGAGTGTCTCTTCCTAACGTCTGGGTAATTGATGCGTAAGGTGCGGTCATCGTTCTTCTGTTTCCTGAGGAGTGGATCCCAGGGCCAGGGCGAGGTCGGACGAGTTGCTGTAACCCGTGAGAGAGGGCGCCAGCGGCCGAGTCAAGCGTGGCGAAGGGGCGGAGGCAGGGTGCAGGAGTGCTGCTGGCAGATGGGATCCGGGAACCGCCAGTCCCGCCGCAGGAGACCCGGGGCCACATGACGGAATGGGGAACCCTGGAGGCGGTGGAGGGGAATGGACAGAGGTGCGAGTGTGCAGTGCGCAGGCGTGAATCAGAAGAACTGAGCCCTAAGCACCTACAGCATTGAATGTAGACGGGAAAGATGCGGAACCAACCACAATGAACAATAAATCACTTTCAATCCCGCGTGTACGGTACTCGGGTTACACTCGGTGGCCATTCAGCTTTGTCATGATGCACTAATTTAGACTGCACGGGCAAGAGAAGCTGGCAGACACAGTGGGCTTAATACTGTAGCGAATTCGGGTTCGTGACCTCAAAACCCCCGGCCCCGCTCCTCCTTCACCGCCTGGGCTCGAACCCGGGTCTCCGAAGTCGCTCAACAGGGGTCTTGCTGGCTGAGCTAAAGAAGACCTCCCTCCGGGCGGCCAAGATCCCTGTTCTGCGCATGGGGCGTCTTACAGCAGGCCCAGCCTCAGGGAGAGCCTTCCGCTTTGTTGTCACTCGCGGGGAGAGTCGCCAAAATGCGGAGCTGCGCCTTTAAACAAGACCTTCCTGCAGCCACGCCCACTGACTCCTTCCCTCCCCGGCAGACTCCTACATTTCTGTCAGTGACAATTCCCAGATCGCCGGCAATAAGACAGCCTGGAGTAACATTTCCGCCAGACCACTCAGAACATAGAACCAAAATATTGTTCACTGTCGCTAAAGAGGGTCAAGAATCTCACGAGCAAGAAAGTTCAAGTTGTGTCTCCTAATTAAGTATTTATAAGCGAGCAATATGGGCAGGCTATAGGTTTACATAACATCGGTTATACTGCCGCTTAAGCGCCCTCTGAGCAATGCGTTTCTTCCACACGGGTAGACAAGCTATCTTTCTCGTGCTTACTCCCAGCAATAATATCAAAAGGGTTTTCTGGTCAAGCCAAAGGGAGGTCATTCTAATAATACACAAGGTCAGTGGTGGGAGCCAGTGAGTCTCTCAGTCATTTTTCATTTGCTCGCAGTGGTTAATGACAGTTGCAGGGGACGGGGACTCGGAGCCCGCAGCCATGTGATGTCACTAACACATGCCAGAGGATTATAAGGGCATGCAGGGGACAAGGGCTGGGATTTTTTTTAAAAAAAAGAAAACTGTCTTCTATACAATGCGTATTGGAAGCATTATGTTTGCTATGCATAAGGTATGTATCCGAGTGTTGCAAAATAAAAAAAGGCTTTCTCATCTTTTAACTAGTCATCAATCTTTCATTTACAACATCGAGCTTCTTTTCAAGTAGGAAAACAGTTCCTGGGAAGAAGACCTGTCCGATAAGGTAGGAAACAGGGCACACAACATAAAATCTCCAAAGGATTCAAGTATGACCAGAACTTCTGTAAGCCTCAAAATGCAAAGCTGATCTTAGTTCAGCCCTCTGGGTACATGTGCACATCAGGTCACTAACTGGGTAGCTCACAAGAAAATAATGTTCAAAATCCAGCACTCGTGCATTTACACCTATATGTTGTAAAAATATTTAGAAGAACGGATCTGCGTACTACTGTCTTGTAATATTCTGCAAGGGTCTTTGTATAGTGCAGTTGTCTACCCGACTGTGTGGTGAAAAACAATAAAGACAATGGAGTTGTTTTCATAGCACAACTTTTGAAGAGCTCTATGTAGAGTTTTCTGCATCTGCAGCCTTTGCTGCTAGGTGTGTGCTCAGCAGGTTTCATTGAAACGTATTAGGATCAGATGGAATATTAAATTTTTTTGACAGCATTGATGTAAGAGAGCTGATTAAAGTAACCTTAAAGCATGACTGAAAAAGAAGTTCAGAACGCCTGATCAAAGACTAAAAATTCAAAGTAATTTAAATGGATTTTAATAGTGTAATATTTTAGAGATCACTTTTTTACACATACATTAATTTTTCATGTTCCTAAATTATCAAACTTATACATAAAAAAGTAGAGGCATGTCAAGTATTTTTAAACCCTGTTTTATCACAGCAAATGACAGCAATAGTTCAACATTTTACTGTGTTAGAGAACAGGACTGGATTAAATAGCAAAGGTTTATATTCAGTGGACTGTGCTGATTCACTGGAGATCAATAATAATATTAATGCCAGTAGTAATGCTAGGAGATGTACTGTGCATTGAAATGCACTGGGACCTGTATATGTAAATGAGTCATAAAAGGGTTTTTTCCATTTTGTGTTACTTCTGGCATCAGGAAATGCATTATAAACAAATTCAAGCATCTAGATGGTGATGTGTTAATGTTTGCTCCATTTCAAGTTTTTTTTTTGGCTGCATCAAAACACTATTTTTTGTGTATCAGGGTACTGCTATAATTAGGTAACCTGTGTAGAATACAGCACCTAGCATCAGTTTATTGTAATGCTTGAGACTGCAAAATGAAAACCTTAAATCTGCCCTGATGGGAAAAGAGAACACAGCACAAATCTAAGAAAATTATACATCTCTTGCACTAATCTGGACTCAATTTAATTCATTCCTTCTCATTCAAAACTACAATAACTTAGGTGATGCTAAACCAAGCACCAGTAAATTCAATTCAGAGTACAGCTGCATTCAGCTTAAAAAAATTATGAAATTGCATTTTCAGTTTGTGCTTTTCTTTTTAAACAAGAATATGCTTAGTGCAATCAAAGTCAACTTGGTTAATATGGAAATACTCCCGAGTGGCATCTGCGATATTCACCCATTTTGAGATATCCCATAATGCTCTGCAGCATGAAGGCCTAAGTGGTGTGGGAAGATGTCAGCAACAATGGCGAACAGTGGAGAATGTAAGGTAAGAGCACAAGAAATATCCAATGATTCAAACAAAATTAATGACTGCATATATATCGGTCATACTTCTGGTTGTTATAGAATCACATAAACTGAATGTGTTTCCTAGATGGTAAACTGGGACACTGGTATTAATCATTATATATTTGTGAACAGAGAGGCACACTTCACAAATTAATTCAGCACAGAATCTTGCAAGGATTTTCACAATATTTAAATTAAAGAGTTTGTAGAAATAATGTTGACAAAATTGTCGTATGTATTTTGTTGGGGAATTATTTTTATATCAAAATTGGAGTTTGTTCATATAACATCATACAGTTAAACAACAATAATGTACATACATATGATCCAACACATTGCTTTTCCAGTATTTATTTGATAAACGTGTGTGGCTATTACAGTGTTTTGATTCACTCTTGCCTGTGGTTGTAGTTTTTTTTTAAGCCACACATAGGACTGTATCTACTTTTCAATTGTACACATCATAATGCTTTTAACAGTCAATCTATGAAATCTGCATTCATTTTGGATGGAGTTCATTGGGATGTTCAATAGGGACATTACACCATACCCTTGTTAACTGCCATGTTTTATTGAGCACTCCCGCTGAAATCAACCTCTCAGTTTTCTAAAAGGCAGACAAGATCTGAAATGTTAAAAGCAATTTATTGACTCAGAGGCAACCTGTGCCTCTAACTACAGTTTTCATCTAGTAATAAGCCGTTGCATTGAATACAGTTAGAATACTGATAGAAACATGGTATCTACAGGTGTAACTCACATGCATTTGTTGAATTGTTTTTTAATCATCACTTTCCAGTCTCTTCACCAAAATCTAAATCATACATTTAGGGACCTTACAGCCCTATATCTGTTTAGATTTCTGCTAAGAATTAACCAATTCATTGTGAAAATAAAACTGACATGAAAAGGCTGCGTTTTGTTTTAAATTTGCATTTATTTTTGTCGTTTAGCTAGAACTTTTTGCTATTTGTAGATCATTCATAGATTCCCCATTAACCACAGCCAGCGGATATCCACGTGAACCCCATGTACTATATGTAGCTGGCAACAGCATTTAAAACCTTGAAATTTAGAACACAAATGAACCGCTGGGGCTGGAGCTGGATGCACATTAACACAGCATGACCCTGCTTAACGAACAACGTGGGACTTAATAAACTTCTGCTACAGTGTGAGAGCTAAGTGAAAAGCATATATGTGCGCATATTTATTTATTTTTTTGGCTTTGCTCTTGCAAGCAAAAGCAGCCAAGGGATTTAGAAGGCCTCTCTTAAGAGGTTTTCTCAATAATATATTTTTTTTTCCTGTAGATTATACTTAGCGTGCAAAAGAGCAAACATATAAGGTGTTGATTTTGGCTGGATTCAAGACTTGCTTGGCTGGCATCCAAGATTCCTGAGGTCTGGCCATTGCTACCATGGTTCAAGTCAATATGAAACAGTGACTAAAGGTCCCTGTAGGCAAACCTGGAGGGCCGCCTTGTCTGATTATTTATCTAATAAAGAGTTTGCGCAGACATCCTGCAGTGCATCGCTGGGACTCCCTATTCCTTCCTGACAGGCCCCAACCCTTTGTAAGACAATACAGTGCAAGCCTATAGGATGTGTTACCTTCTTTATTGTTTTAATCATTTCACATCACTGCAAACAGCACTCATACAGCGCATTGAAGTTTTCACACAATTTCATTGGTGAAATATATCAGTCTTTCAGGCCGGCTGCTGACAAGCATGCGCTGGAGAGATGTCTCTTCTGTTTTTGTGTTTTTCTTCATGTTACGTAGCACAGTGAGCTGAGCAAGCCCATCTCTTGTTTCTGCACCAGTGGAGAATCCTATTGGGCCACCGTTAATCCCTGAGTTTCACCCGGCCTTCCTTCTTTTCCCTCACACAAGACATCATTGGTTATGATTTACTGTATGAAATATCGCGGTACATGTGAATGTTTGTGCCTGAGAACTTTTGGATGGGTCTCAGTGACATCAAGGGAATGAAATAGCCAGAACAAAGAACCTGTTGCGACACGTAGAGTACAGATGCATATTCACTGTTTTATGACTTCAGAGATGCACAGCCATAAAGTATGAATGAGGGTTGCAAAATAATGGGGATCAAATCCTCATAGGCAGTTTACTCACGGATAGTTTTAAAATAAGTGTCTGTGTTTCCTAATTATTTATGAATGGATCAATTATGCAATTGTTTATGGCTGAATAAAAAATCTTTATATATCTTTTTTTAGTTTCCACAGCGTTAACGTGTTTTAAATTAACACTAATTTCTAATGATATCTTCTTGCTGCTTCAGTGATCTTTCCTTGTATTTACCAGGAAATAAGATAGCTAATTAATAAGGTGTTCTCATGAAAAAAAATCAATCAAATGAAGTAGTATTTTCCCCTGAATGAGTGCATACTAATTCTGGTTGGTTTTCAAGTGCATCCTCATTTACAATGGAGTTCTTTATGAATTAAATTTTAAAAATAGTTCACTTCATTAGAAGTGTGTGTTCCACCTGAAATATTTTGTAGGTTTACAAGAAATATTGGGGCATCTTCTAAAACATTTTTCACTAAAATGATCATGAATGGAATGTGAAAGAGCATATGTAATGTTGTAGATGAACAGCATAATATTCATCCATTTAGTATCATTTATACTCATCTATTGTGTTTGCATCATTACTGGTTCAACTGAATAAAATCATTTTACTGTCTATGATGCCTATTTTCCAGTATATTTCCATGTGAAATCTGACAGCACTTCACAATGCCATCATAATACTGTTGTGTTTGTGGGATTGTTGAAAAATACAAGCTGCCTGAATGTTGTTTTTAAAAAAGCAGACACATCACACCAGTTTTTAATGTGGCAAGCAATGTGTGGGAGAGGAGAGCTCAGATGGACTCGGGTTCTCCTCTCAGACAGTGACAGTGGTCTCAGGGAGCCCTCTTTGGCAGACCCCTTGTGGGAGGCAGACCCCAGCCCTGCGCTCTAGCAGAACCATCCAGTTGTCCCAGATCTTCATCAGCCCTCCCTCTCTCCCCCAGTTAACCTGCTCCTCCACCAAGGAGCTGGCATTTGTGAGTCTCCTTTACTCTCATCCAGGGACAACAGCATCACGGAACACTATTTCAGCTGCTTACAGTTGCCACCACAGTACCAATCGTGTTGTAGAAGTGCACAGAACAATTCGTCTTGACGAAGACGATCTCCAACGTGTTTCAAAAGTTCCAGAGGAGGGGTGTTTAGGTCACCATCTAACGTTTTTTTATGTAGTCATTATTCTAACACCCGCAGAAGAACCTAGAAAAAGAGTTGAATTGGTCAGATTAATCAAACTATATGTTTAATTAGGTAATTAAAAGATAAGATGGAGTGAAAACCATGTGCCCTTAGTGGGTAAGAACTGACCAAACCTTTCATATGTGTGAAGATTTAGAAATGTTTCATATACTCGTGCCTTTTTGGTTGAAACACAATCTATAGTTCTATTCATGGGCTAGCATATTTCAAATAAATTCAGATAGTAGTCATGGATGGGGATGTAATACATATTAGCTAAATACAAATATTATTTGTATTACATGTGATTGTGCAGCTTTAGTTTATGAAATAAAGATTCACACATATGTTTCCTGTCAAACGCATACTAAAAAAAAACCCAGGAACATTTCACTACAGATTACTTTGCGTCTTGTTTTCATGACAGAAAATCCATTCTTGATTCAGCCAGGTTTAATTTTCAGTACCTGTAGTCAGTATTTCTGGTTAGCTATCATGCGCTGAGTCTGTTTCATATAACAATGTTTAGTCTTTGCCTTACCAATAAAAAAATTTTTGAACGTATAAAGAGTTCGAGTATAATTCTGTGAAATATCACACTTACACGGTTATTGTCATTACTGCTTGAACACAGCAATCAACCTCATGAATGGATTTCATACTCTGTTGACACAGGCAAATGTCTTGGAAGCTTCCTGGGCTGTATATTCCAATGTGCCCCAGGGTGATCAACCAGGACAAAGGGAAACTTCTACACTGCCTATAAACATAGAAGTAGAATTGCTGTTTCTTCTGTGGCAGGCTTCATAAGCAGCAAATTCTGTCAACGGAGGAAAATAAAGCAATAACTTCTCGCAGCTCACGGAACAAAGCCTGGGAGTGCAATCTACCTGCTATAACATTGGCATGCTCCTGTGAGGGCATTCTGTTCCAGCTTTGTTAAAAGCAAACCATAGCTGGTAAGCACTGTAGGAAATAGCAAATAACAGGAGATAATATAATCTAAGGTTTTCATTGTGAGGTTAAACGCAGCAAAAGACAATCAAGGTGCGAGTATATATGCTATATTATATTCTATGTATTTCTGTGTTTATAAATATATGTGGGATAACTGCTACAGACCCTATTTTCATCAGCAATGACATGCAAAAGCTGATTGTGTTTTACCAACCATGCCTGACTGTTTGATACCACAGAGCATCCACCCAAGTGTGCCAGGATATGATATGATCTAGCGCTCTCGATGCCTGTGAGCTCCACAATCGCAGCAATGTCAAACTCTTTTTATGCTCCCGGTTAGGACTGCCTTGACCTACTTGAGGGGAGCCGAAGCCATCAGCTGCAGACTACCTCATGTTCCTCATTCAATTTGCATCGCAAGCGTAATTAGACTGTTGAGGAACAGGAATTTCGACAAATTCCATCTGAAAAATAATCTGCTTCTATCTTTTGCCTTGGTGGCCTGTCTTTAGATAGTTTCCCTCTCTGAGCACAAGGTCATAGAGTATAAATATAAATTGCATTTTGCATTACTTCCAGATGAGTGAAGCTGTCAAACCAATAATACCAGCTTTCAGTTCCGTGTTCTGCCACTTCTTTCCCATTTTTTGGCCAGGAGGTCATGTGCAAATTGAAAGTGACAGCCTAGCCAGCATGTCCAACAGACTGATATTGTTAGAGTGCCCTGTCATGGCACAGATCACAGCTCCAAGCCACCGACTGTCTCCAAGGGTCCCAGTGTTTTGGCTCCAGAACTTATACTTGCCTAGAGAAAGAACAAAGTAAGGCACTGACCCACTAGTAAACATATAGGGTCTCTGTGCATCAATTGGGAAAGAGTGCCAGACTGAAGATTCCTTAGCTCTTTTTTTCCGCTGTGAGGGCAGAAATGAGAGGGTGTGTTGCTTAAGAGGAGACTACTCTTATCTTGGCACACTGGCCTGACCAATCTACAGGCCATGCAGCTCAATACAAAAAAAAAACTTGCTTGTGTCACGTCACATATAGATTGGACCATTTGTTTTTATTTTTTCACTATTAAACATTTTCAGTGTGATTGGATTATTGACCAAAGAGTAGAGTGAGAGGTCATGGTGGCATTCCTGGACATACAGCAGTTCCTCTTCATCAGTCTCAGCTGTTCATTGTCTCTTGGAGACTATTATCTGAACGGAGAAGAAAGTTACCGGAATTCTTCATACTCTTCCCAGAATCATAGTCATTCTTTTTATGAAGAATGCTCGGCGCTACCATGCTTAAATGTGTCATTTGTTTGTTTCACCCACTTCTTTTTCGTTCTTTCAATGTGACAGTCTTGATTTGTGCATGCTTCTTTCACAAAGAGAGTATGGGATAGGTCAGAATCTTAAGGAAATGAAAAGAGAAGAGACTTCATAATTCTTTAAACTTTTTCAATTCAACTACAAGGCCTTTTGCCATGCATCTCTTGGAGAGTTTTATTTTTAGTCCACAGCACAGGAAAACTTTTCAACTGTACAATTAATCTGAGTGGTACATTTCATTGGTTTGTTTGAGCAAACTTGTTAATGTAACATTCTGCAGCCCTGGGTCCTGTGATTTAATGTGAAAAATTAACAGAGTGGCTGTCACTACAAAGCCTTCCAGTACTTCCATTGCTACTAATAAATATTAGGCTTATCACTTTTTTGGCTCCAGACTCTGTCAAATGAAGCAACTTCCCCGTCTTGCAATTTGTTCGTGATCTATAATGTCATCACTGTCCTCTTTCTGCTCTTTGAACTAGAAGCAAAGAAGTCTTTTTGTCATGTTGAAAAATAACTTCTACTCCCTATGTTGTTTTCCTGCCAAGAAATATAGAAACTAATAGCCCAATAGATGAATTTTAACATCCCAAACTGCTTATTTCCAAATTATTCTGATGCAGTTCATGTGTTGTACTTCTCCCACGAAAGACAGTGAGGTTCAGGCAGAAAGAAGTTATAGGGCAACGCTATTGAATTACGGTTAAGGAAATCAGTTATAGCAGCCAATGATCACTAATGTACAGTTTGCAGTTTAAGCTCATCACATCAATAGCATATCATATATTCATCCTGTTTTAAACCTCTTAACTAAAGTCTTCTTCCCCTTCTTAAATGTGAGCAAAGGGTTTTTGGAGAAAGATATTCTAAAAAAATAAAGGGATCCTGTCTATTTCACTTCAGAAAGAAATGCACAGCGATGCGTTTTCAGACTTGCTAACCAAAGGAATCTAATGCCATGGGTAACCAGACTCAAAGCAGGCATCTTGAAAACTTGGACAGAGATCAGAGTCCATGTCTCTTTCTTGACATGTGCCAGGATATGTCTAAGCAGAAGTTTGTGTGAATGGGGCTTTCGGCGTGTTATCCTGCTAATAGATTTGTCAAACGATGCCACCACTTCTCTTAAGAACAGGAAGCTTTGGGCTTCCTTGTGTCTTTACTACAGAATTAGGGAGGTGTTGGAGTTCTTACAAAATCTATGAGGATTTTTTAAAAGAAAATCGAAAGTTTTCTTGTTTGTTCTCCAAACAGCCGTGCCGTCTTCTTGGCGTCACCATCTGCCTTATGCTTAACTGCAGCGATAAGGAGAGCTTTAGGGTTTCAGCCGTTTGAATTCTTGAGGTTACAGTCACATGGACGTTACAATCGTGCTCAACAGGGGTAGCAGACTCTTTCAGAGTCTGAAAACTCTTCTACTGAAGTGTCTAGCGAATAAAGGTTTTCAGAAATATAGCATGCGCCACGTTCTAAGTGATCTAAGGTATCATAAAGGTTTTGAGACAAAAGAAAAAAGTTCGGATTTAAAAATGAAAATCGATTGCAATGCAAGGTAGAAAATGTACGTCGTGGTTATTTTCTTCAGAAATGTTTTACGCAAAGAGATACTGGTGGACTTCATCTTAAAGGTAAACTCCTGTAGAATGGCAAACAGATTATTTTCCTGAACACTTAACAAACATTGGAGTATTCAGACTTGTTGATTTAATGATAAATTGGCGAGTTGTATGAACGTTTACATGCAAAAGAACATAAAACCGCGCTGTTAAAAATAATGCCCGCTCCAATTTCAGTCGCTCTTTTTCTCTTGGCCGATGTGCTTGGACAGTGGGCTTTCCGTAGACTGCGCTGTGATGGCCTGTCGACCTCAGTTTGAGTAAAGAGAGGGGTGGCTTTGTGAGTAGGATATAGGGAGAGTGCAAGGGCTCTGACCTGAACTTTGTGTTCGATAGGAGTAGCCGTGTTGAATTAAATGTTTGAGAGGGTCTTCGATTCTGTTGCGAAAGAGAGGTGATTCCGAATTACACTCCGCGCTCCAAGGTAACAGTGCCACGCATAGCTTCTGGACAGACGTGAGTCTCTGGTGGAAATGCAGTGCACGTGTAGCGTGGTTTTCTTTGAAATAGAAAACAATTCATAAAAACGTGTAGGAAAATGCTGTTTCATTAGCTTCAAAAAACAAACGTCATCTAAGGACAAAACGAACATTAGTCTGTAGCTCAGAGAGGTTGCTGTCGAGATGAGTTGCTGTTGACTTACTGTAAGTGACCACTGGGACATATGTAGTTTGACGAGCGCTTCCTTGCTTATGTAACTGTTTTGATATAAGAATACAAAACTCTATAGGTTGTTAAAATTTGCGAGCGGCTGCCTAGTACAGTATTAAATGCTGAGGCGCTCAGTGGAGAGTTGGTGTCCCACTGTCGTGCGCAATGACGAGTGGACTAAACGATGAACCCGAGGTCACCCGACAGAATAGCGCGCCTCTTGCTGCCATTAAAATTGGAAAGAGCACATCTTCACACAAAATATGACCAACACAGACCACTTCATATTTACAGCAGTTCAGAAAGATAAGTGCCAGCTCGGGAACATTGAAAAAAACCCTCTTAAAACCAGCTTCTGTTGCATTCAATACACGTTTCGATCTAAAAGTTCAAGCCCTCAAAATAAAACGAACTGCTATGTAATGCTGTATGTCCTTTTGGGTATCACCGTGTTTTTCCAAGATGGATATGAAACCACCAGCTCTTCCGTGTGTGTCTGCAACTATTATAGTATTCGCCATAGTTCAGGAGACAAACTGGTTTGAAAGTCTTGTAAGTGCGAGGTACCTATCGCACCCGCCATATTTAGTGAGCCCATCAGAATTTAATTATGTGTTAATGTGATATCCCGTGCTCTATATAAAGGGCGACCAATTCTGTCCCCAACTTTCTTCTTAAGTAAAAATATTGAATATTAATGGAAATTGCTTGAATGATGCACAGACTGTAGGATGCATTATAGCAATGCATAATGGACTCTAGGACCATTATGCAGACCTAAAATTGCTAAAATGGTCCGTTATTTTAGTGTAGCATTTGCTAATAGAAACCATACGTTCTTGGAGGATGAATGGTCTCCCGTCGCCTTTAACCTTTCTTGTGTACTTGTGTTTTTTGCTGTTTTTTTTTTAGTCGGTTGGTAACTTACAGTAAAATAATGGTGTAGCAGTTCTGCTTTTTATTAAATTTTATGCTCATTTTGGTCAGGATCCTTGAAACATCAGTTTCACGGCTGTAGTCGGGGTACTGCGTAGCGTTCAGCAATATACCTCAGTGAGGCTGTCCTTTGCGTGTTGGAAACACCTGAGATTCACTTAAGACGCGAGTGAGTGACGCATTTGAGTCTCACTCTGGCCCAAGGACTGTGCTGCAATCCTGTTCAATGTCCCGTTAAGGCTGTACACTGTCCTATTCGATTTCGTGACAGTGGCTTGGAACGTGAACATATTACACTGTTGTTAATCACACGTAGT